TCTCAAAATGAATATACATTTTTTTTACTCTACATCATAATGCTGTGCTTGCTAAATTCACATGTACCATTTAAAATGATAGATTTTCATTTTTTATTTTGATAAAACGGTAGAATTTTAATATAGGCCATTTATTGATTATCAGACATAAAATGAAAAAAGAAAAATGACAGCTTACCGTATCAGCCAAAATTAATATTGGTGCATCCTTAGAACAAGATTGTATAACCATAATCGTAATCATTCATCTTACATGCTGGTTGCTGTTCTTAACTCAGGTGGTACAGCGTGGTGGCATTCTGCTCACAGACAGGAAGAAATCAGAGTTCACAACCAAAGACATTGTGCAGGATCTGAATCGTCTACTGAAGGCCCGTAAGGGAGAGACCGTGTCCAGTGCTGCACTTCCAGAGATGGAGAAACAGGTTTGGGGCTCTGCAGCACAAGTTAGATGTGTAATTTCAGGAGCTTGACCAGGAGATTTAATTAGGTTATTGCTTTTTTCCAGATTGCAATGTCTTGCTTACAAGCAGTCATCAAATACCTGGAGCTCCTCTCAGATGAGGCCAATTTTGGTTCCTTCAAGATAACCACCTTTGATCTCAACCAGTACATGCGTCTGGATAATGCTGCTGTGCAGGCCCTGAATCTCTTCCAGGTCAAGGGTCATTCAAAAACAAGAAATATGCAATTTCTTCAGTGGAGGGTTATCGTGAGTTCTGATATGTTCCTCCTCTGATTTCTCAGGGTTCCTCTGATGATGCTACAGGCACACACTCCCTGGCAGGCCTCTTAAACAAATGTCGTACCCCACAAGGACAGCGGTTGGTCAGCCAGTGGATCAAACAGCCTCTCATCGACAAAAACAAGATAGAAGAAAGGTGACTTTTTTTTGTTTTGTTTGCTGCATATACCTTTAAATCTCGAATTGGTATGTAATTTCTTTGATTCGGTCTGATACATTACATATTTATGGAATCATATAGGATGTTTAAGTTGTTTAGAATTTAAAAATGTTCCCTAATGCTGATATAATTTTTCTTGTGCTTATTTGAATTGAACTTCTGTAGCATACAGTGAGACTATAATATATGCTTTTATACTCATTTAAAAGTGTAGTGATGGTGGGATTTGTGAAAGAAGTCTCTTATGCTCACCAAGGCTACATTTATAATATCATATTAATATTAATATCCTGTCAAATTATTACAGCTTAATTATTATTTTCTTTTTGAATATATTTTACGATGTAATTTATTCCAATGATGGCAAAGCTGAATTTTCAGCAGCCTTTACTCCAGGCTTCAGTGATACATGATCTTCGGAAATCATTTTATGCCATGCCGATTTGGTGCTCAACATTTTTTTTTATTATCAATTTTGTAAATCAGTTATGCTGCTTACTATTTCTATTAAAACTCATATACTTTTCCCCAGGATTCTTTGAAAAAAATGTGCAAAAGAACAGCAGGAGATGGTCTTATTATTGAAAATGCAAGCTGATTGTCTGCCAGCAGGAGGCGCTTTGAGAGCGGTAGAACTAACGGTTTCTCCAGTAACGGCTGTAATCAAATCAGCTCCACTCCTGAACGCTACTTTATCAGATAAAATAAAAATACCATCGAAACTTTTCTGAAGACAGTCCTTTCCCTTCAGAGATACATTCATATAAAACACCCACGCCGTGTTATGATTTTGAAATGTGCAGTGCTCATGTTTATTCAACGAAATCAAACACCACAAATAAATCAATGTATGGGAAACACGTAATGTATATCGAAAATGTGTTTCAAAATCACACCACTGTTATTGAAAAAAATTATATCGCGATACATATCGATATTGAATTATTGTGCAGCCCTAATAGAGCTTGCATTTCACAATTCTGACTTTTTTCTTGCAATTGCGAGTAACAATTCTGACTTGGCGCCAAAATCAAAACTGCATTATGGCTGTTGAAGTTTCTGTCAGAAGGGAAAGCCACAGCCCCGTTTCTTAGTTGTTGTTTTTTCTAGTCATATAGCACCGATGTATTTTTCTACTCCATAGACAGCCAAGTTTTATTAACTACCTATTTTGTCTGTGGTGAATGATGCCCTCTTTAAATGTAATGTAAAATAATAAATCTCAAAATGAATATACATTTTTTTTACTCTACATCATAATGCTGTGCTTGCTAAATTCACATGTACCATTTAAAATGATAGATTTTCATTTTTTATTTTGATAAAACGGTAGAATTTTAATATAGGCCATTTATTGATTATCAGACATAAAATGAAAAAAGAAAAATGACAGCTTACCGTATCAGCCAAAATTAATATTGGTGCATCCTTAGAACAAGATTGTATAACCATAATCGTAATCATTCATCTTACATGCTGGTTGCTGTTCTTAACTCAGGTGGTACAGCGTGGTGGCATTCTGCTCACAGACAGGAAGAAATCAGAGTTCACAACCAAAGACATTGTGCAGGATCTGAATCGTCTACTGAAGGCCCGTAAGGGAGAGACCGTGTCCAGTGCTGCACTTCCAGAGATGGAGAAACAGGTTTGGGGCTCTGCAGCACAAGTTAGATGTGTAATTTCAGGAGCTTGACCAGGAGATTTAATTAGGTTATTGCTTTTTTCCAGATTGCAATGTCTTGCTTACAAGCAGTCATCAAATACCTGGAGCTCCTCTCAGATGAGGCCAATTTTGGTTCCTTCAAGATAACCACCTTTGATCTCAACCAGTACATGCGTCTGGATAATGCTGCTGTGCAGGCCCTGAATCTCTTCCAGGTCAAGGGTCATTCAAAAACAAGAAATATGCAATTTCTTCAGTGGAGGGTTATCGTGAGTTCTGATATGTTCCTCCTCTGATTTCTCAGGGTTCCTCTGATGATGCTACAGGCACACACTCCCTGGCAGGCCTCTTAAACAAATGTCGTACCCCACAAGGACAGCGGTTGGTCAGCCAGTGGATCAAACAGCCTCTCATCGACAAAAACAAGATAGAAGAAAGGTGACTTTTTTTTGTTTTGTTTGCTGCATATACCTTTAAATCTCGAATTGGTATGTAATTTCTTTGATTCGGTCTGATACATTACATATTTATGGAATCATATAGGATGTTTAAGTTGTTTAGAATTTAAAAATGTTCCCTAATGCTGATATAATTTTTTTTGTGCTTATTTGAATTGAACTTCTGTAGCATACAGTGAGACTATAATATATGCTTTTATACTCATTTAAAAGTTTAGTGATGGTGGGATTTGTGAAAGAAGTCTCTTATGCTCACCAAGGCTACATTTATAATATCATATTAATATTAATATCCTGTCAAATTATTACAGCTTAATTATTATTTTCTTTTTGAATATATTTTACGATGTAATTTATTCCAATGATGGCAAAGCTGAATTTTCAGCAGCCATTACTCCAGGCTTCAGTGATACATGATCTTCGGAAATCATTTTATGCCATGCCGATTTGGTGCTCAACATTTTTTTTTATTATCAATTTTGTAAATCAGTTATGCTGCTTACTATTTCTATTAAAACTCATATACTTTTCCCCAGGATTCTTTGAAAAAAATGTGCAAAAGAACAGCATTTATCTGGAATAGAAATCTTTTGTAACATTGTCTTTGTCACTTTTGTTCAGTTTAATGCAGCCTTGCTGAATAAAAATATGAATTACTCCAAAAAGTATCTTGTGGATGCAGCATATTTTTTTACATTTTAGAGGGTTTATTTTTGCCTGTGACTTTATTAGACATTTGTGGTTCTGATGTGCAGACTGGATCTTGTGGAGACTTTTGTAGAGGACTCTGAGCTGAGGAAGAGTTGTCAGGAGGATCTTCTCCGCCGTTTTCCAGACCTGAACCGAATGGCAAAGAAGTTCCAGCGTCAAAGCTCTAATTTACAAGACTGTTACAAGGTCTATCAAGCTGTGGGGCATCTGCCGAATCTGGTGCTGGCGTTGGAGAGATACAGTGGTGAGCACAATTTGGCCTGTTAACGTTCTAATTTGCATTTGAACAACAAAATTAGTTGTGGAGCAACACAATGAGCGACAGCTGTATTTTGATCAGGGAAACATCAGGTCCTCCTGCACGCAGCATTCATCTCTCCCCTCAACGACCTCGTCTCTGACTTCTCCAAATTTCAGGAGATGATTGAAACCACACTGGACATGAACCAGGTCTGCTGTTGTCATCTACACTCGGTGCTTTAAGCAAACCTTAAAAGGGTCATGATGTTTATGCGGTTTAAGGTTTAAAAAAAATTCACATACTGTACATTATTGTTTCTCCTCTATGCCCCGCCTTTCTGAAACGCATCGATTTTTACAAAGCTCATCGGTCTGAAAAGCAAGGTATGCTGTGACTTGTGCTTATTTGAATTGAACTTCTGTAGCATACAGTGAGACTATAATATATGCTTTTATACTCATTTAAAAGTGTAGTGATGGTGGGATTTGTGAAAGAAGTCTCTTATGCTCACCAAGGCTACATTTATAATATCATATTAATATTAATATCCTGTCAAATTATTACAGCTTAATTATTATTTTCTTTTTGAATATATTTTACGATGTAATTTATTCCAATGATGGCAAAGCTGAATTTTCAGCAGCCATTACTCCAGGCTTCAGTGATACATGATCTTCGGAAATCATTTTATGCCATGCCGATTTGGTGCTCAACATTTTTTTTTATTATCAATTTTGTAAATCAGTTATGCTGCTTACTATTTCTATTAAAACTCATATACTTTTCCCCAGGATTCTTTGAAAAAAATGTGCAAAAGAACAGCATTTATCTGGAATAGAAATCTTTTGTAACATTGTCTTTGTCACTTTTGTTCAGTTTAATGCAGCCTTGCTGAATAAAAATATGAATTACTCCAAAAAGTATCTTGTGGATGCAGCATATTTTTTTACATTTTAGAGGGTTTATTTTTGCCTGTGACTTTATTAGACATTTGTGGTTCTGATGTGCAGACTGGATCTTGTGGAGACTTTTGTAGAGGACTCTGAGCTGAGGAAGAGTTGTCAGGAGGATCTTCTCCGCCGTTTTCCAGACCTGAACCGAATGGCAAAGAAGTTCCAGCGTCAAAGCTCTAATTTACAAGACTGTTACAAGGTCTATCAAGCTGTGGGGCATCTGCCGAATCTGGTGCTGGCGTTGGAGAGATACAGTGGTGAGCACAATTTGGCCTGTTAACCTTCTAATTTGCATTTGAACAACAAAATTAGTTGTGGAGCAACACAATGAGCGACAGCTGTATTTTGATCAGGGAAACATCAGGTCCTCCTGCACGCAGCATTCATCTCTCCCCTCAACGACCTCGTCTCTGACTTCTCCAAATTTCAGGAGATGATTGAAACCACACTGGACATGAACCAGGTCTGCTGTTGTCATCTACACTCGGTGCTTTAAGCAAACCTTAAAAGGGTCATGATGTTTATGCGGTTTAAGGTTTAAAAAAAATTCACATACTGTACATTATTGTTTCTCCTCTATGCCCCGCCTTTCTGAAACGCATCGATTTTTACTTTACTCCAGGCTTCAGTGATACATGATCTTCGGAAATCATTTTATGCCATGCCGATTTGGTGCTCAACATTTTTTTTTATTATCAATTTTGTAAATCAGTTATGCTGCTTACTATTTCTATTAAAACTCATATACTTTTCCCCAGGATTCTTTGAAAAGAATGTGCAAAAGAACAGCATTTATCTGGAATAGAAATCTTTTGTAACATTGTCTGAGCCGGTATTGTAGTCTACTCTCCCAGGATCAGGAAACAGCCCTCCATAAAATGCGCTGCACACATCTGAATATTTAAATTCAGACGTAAATGCAACTTGACCACTGATTTCTAGTCATGTCCTCTTTTGAAAGGCCAAACAAAGTATTTTCGCTTTTGCAACGAAACACACAGCGTCTTCACAACATGGTGGCAGCAACAATAAAGCTATGCCTTCTTTATTTGCGTGAACATTTGGGCAGTGTTATGCAAATCTTCCCACACAGTGACGTAGACATGTGGGGGCGTGTTTAAACGAGGCGTTTTAGGAGGGCGTGGACGAGTCTTAACTTTTATAAAGAATATCTCTTTGGGTTTGAGACTTTAGTCTTTGCAACTTTAGGGATCTTATCTATTCACGAACAGCTTGTAACACTCTAAAGAGAAAGGAAAACTTGAAATTGCATCATATGACCCCTTTAAGCTCAGTTTGTAAGTTGCTCTGGCTAAAAGTTGGAATTCCTAAAATGTATGCCACTCTTGTTTTTGTTGTCCAGGTTGAACATCATGAGTTCCTGGTGAAACCCTCATTTGATCCCACATTGAGTGAGCTCAGGGAGAACATGAATCGTTTGGAGAAAGCCATGCAGGCTGCCTTGAACAGTGCGGCTCGTGAACTGGGTAAGTAAACATAATGTGGTAATGAAATGTATTTCCTATTAAGCAATTTAGCGTTGAACCAGTAACAAAACCAATTTTGTTTGTTTTGCTTTAGGGCTGGAAGCAGCTAAGACTGTGAAGCTTGAATCCAATGCACAGATTGGTTACTTTTTCCGAGTCACATGCAAAGAAGAAAAGAGTCTCCGCAACAACAAGAAATTCACTACTTTAGATGTTCAAAAGAATGGAGTGCGATTCACTAACAGGCAAGAGAGATGTTGAATGAGATGTTTAAATACTGGTGCAGCTAATGACTAGATTTATTAGTGAGTGATGGGGTTGTGTCTTTTTCAGTAAGCTGAGCTCTTTGAATGAAGAGTACACTAAAAGCAGAGAAGAGTATGAAGAGGCTCAGAATGCCATCGTCAAAGAAATCATCAGCATAGCCGCTGGTGAGAGTCACTCAAGGCTTGTTTGGCAATGAATCGCCTGCGATTTTGAACGCGATTTTGCATAGCTTGTCAGTGAACTATGGTTCTGTGTAGTAAATGCACAGAGCATTCGATTATTTACACAGCCCTAGCTTGTTCATTGTGGTTTTTGAACTTTTCCATGTGGTTTTTTATTTTCCTTAAGGAATGTTCTGTTGAAAAGTACAGTAAAACACCTGTAAAAAAAATCAATATGGAAAATTACTTCATATTAATACAGTACATTGTGCCCTTTTTTAGAATGAGGTTAAGCTCTTCTTGTACCCTAACTACAAAATATAAAATTCCATTTAAAAAAAAAAAGATAAAACATGCACATACATTTGAAAGAAGTATAACATGCAGTTTTCAAAGAGACAAAATTTAAACATTGTGTTAATATGAGACTAGCCAAGATAAAACAGTTATGTAAGAATATACTTTAAAAAGTGACAGGTTCAACATCTCAACAGTTCATAGAATGCATTTTAGGGAGGAATTATTGTAATACAAGCATCTAAGTATTAACGTCAACCTGAAATGGAAATCTTTTTTCCATATTGTGAATAGCAGAGTAAAATTTGTCATTGGGAAATTGATTGGATCGTCGGATGTTGCTAATTACTGCAATCCCATGTATATTTTATAAGAAACGGCAATATTCCTTAAAAAAAATGCCCATTTTGATTTCATAGTGACTTAATGGCCTAGTTTATGGTTTTAAATTATTTCCTGTGGTAATCAGCACTAATCCATAATGTTTATAGAGTCTAATGTGTATTGAACACGTTAGCCATTAGCTGTTTTGGTCGCTAACATTAAGATGTTTTCAGTTAATCTGGTTGTTGGCACATTGAGAATGAATAGTTTAATAATCCTGTGTTTGTACCATAGGCTATGTGGATCCAGTACAGACTCTGAATGAGGTGATAGCTCAGCTGGATGCAGTGGTGAGCTTTGCTGTGGTGTCCCATGCTGCCCCAGTGCCTTACATAAGGCCTAAAATACTAGAGAAAGGGTCAGGGAAACTAGTTATAAAGGCGGCAAGACATCCCTGTGTTGAAGCCCAAGATGATGTGGCTTTCATTCCCAATGATGTCACCTTCGCAAGGGGCGAGGAGATGTTTCATATCATCACAGGTAAACTCTTATTTGATAGCATTAAATGGAAGCTTCATGTACATAAATGCATTAATCCTCATGATAAAAAGTAGGGCTGGGTTTTGACACAAATTTCACGATTCGATTCTCATTCACAAGCTTTCGATTCAATATCGATTATTTTGGATATATATATCAGGTAGACATGCTAATTTTAAGGAAAAAAAATTCTTAACTAATGCTGTAAAATACACGAGAGTCCATTGGTACTACATTACTATAATATTGAAGGTTAAAATTTACAGATTTTTTTTTTAGGCTTGAATTGCTTAAATTACACTTAATTACGTTTTATAATAAAAGTTACAATTACAGAATATTTCTACTTCAATTTGTTTTTTTAAATATAAACATTTAAATTGTGGCTGTCATAAAAAATATATAAATTCAACATCGAAGAACAGTAAAAGTTATAATGAATATATTACATGGTGCATATATTTAGCAAAATGCCCCTCTCTACAGTTTATTTTTCTAGCTAACTAATGAATTTATGGTCATAGAATGTTTTTTGAGGTAAATGTGACATTTCGTGACATTGTTTACAAGCCGTTATATTGACGTCTTTGCAGCAGGTCTTTGTGCGACTGAAACACTGATTGAGCGATTACATGAGACAGTATACGGATTGTAAAGTTGTACTCTTTCTTTTAACTTGCGTTCGGATGTTTCGTAATGTTTATTTTGTGCTGAAACTGGTATTAATGTGGAGAAACTGAACTGAGAGCGTCTGTTGAACTGAGGCGCTACAGCAGCGATCTGTCACTCCACATTAAACAATGCCAAAACGGCATTTATTGTTTGAATACTGCAATACAATGGACATAATTTGAAATCTGAGACCTTGTTTTCTATTAAAAGTACCAAAGCACAATGCTTATTGCGATATATTGGATGGGAAGTGCCCTTCAACGTTCCGTACATTAACTGAAAACAGGCTAGACTAATCGATTCTTGGGATTTAAGAATCAATATCGTTTCGTAAAAATGTGAATCGATTAAAATAAAGATATTAATATTTTTTTACCCAGCCCTAATAAAAAGTCTTTATTTTTTATATATTTTAGGTCCAAATATGGGTGGTAAATCTACATACATCCGTCAAGTGGGTGTGATCGTGCTGATGGCACAGATTGGTTGTTTTGTACCATGTGATGAGGCAGAGCTAAGTGTGGTGGACTGCGTGCTCGCTCGAGTGGGTGCGGGGGACAGCCAGATCAAAGGAGTGTCCACCTTTATGGCTGAGATGCTGGAGACGGCTGCTATTCTTCGGTCAGAACTCAATTTTGACACGTTTTGTACTCCCATCATTCTTAAAAGAATATTCTAAGTTCAGTACAAGTTAAAGGGACAGCCCACCCAAAAATTTTAATTGTTACTCACCATCTTGTTGTTCCGAACTTGTACGAGTGTCTTCTGTGGAAGATGAAAGAATATTTTGAAGAATGTTGGTAACCAAACAGTTTCGGTTTCCTATTGACTATTAAAAAAAAGACACAAACTACAATGAAGAACTTCTCAATGAGAACTGAAACCTATATTCTATGGAACATAAAAGAAGGTATTTTGAAGAAAGAAATGCATACAGGTTTAGTTCGACATAAGGGTGAGTAAATGACAGAATTTTCCTTTTTGGGTGAACTCTCCCTTTAAGCTAAATCAAAAGCAATTGTAGATTTGTTGTTGTGAATAGAGGCAAAACATGAATATTAAAATACTTTTTTACCACTCAAATACACAAGTTTTAACAAGAATTGTGTAAGTGCTTTTATAAAATATGCTACTGTTTATAAATCCTCCAGAAATGGTCCATTTGCTTCAATTGTAGATGCCTCACTAGAACCTTGTTTTTTCACATTTTTATACATTTGATAAATTTACAGCAGGGATGGGCAACTTCGGTCCAAGAAGGCTACTGTCCTGCAGAGTTTAGCTCTAACCCTAATCAAACACACCTGAACCAGCTAATTAAGGTCTTCAAGATCACTAGAAAGTTACAGGCAGGTGTGTTTAATTAGGGGTGGAACTAAACTCTGCAGGACAGTGGCCCTCCAGGACCAAAGTTGCCCATCCCTGATTTACAGTAAGTGCATATTGCGTCCCTCAGTACTTTTTTGTAATAAATGCTTGTCATGTTTTGCATTTTGACACGTTAGATCAGCCACAGAGGATTCTCTCATCATTATTGATGAATTGGGCAGAGGCACATCCACATACGATGGCTTTGGTCTGGCCTGGGCAATCTCGGAGTACATCGCCACCCGCCTCAAGTCCTTCTGCCTGTTTGCCACTCACTTCCATGAGCTGACGGCACTTGCACAGCAGGTTCCCACTGTCCGTAACCTCCACGTCACTGCCCTGACCACAGACAGCACTCTCACCATGCTCTACAAGGTGAAAAAGGGTAAGTGTCTCTTGAAACATTTTCTAAAAACTCTGTTTTGTATATTCTCATTGTGTTTGGTGGTGTCTAATGTTTGTAATTTATTAGGCGTTTGTGACCAGAGCTTTGGGATTCATGTGGCAGAGCTTGCTAACTTCCCCAAGCATGTGATTGCTAATGCACGGGAGAAGGCTTTGGAGCTAGAGGAGTTCCAGGATATCTCAAGAGCCGGGGAGGAAGCTGGACCCGAAGCCAAGAAACGCTGCCTTGAGAAACAGGTGAGATTGAAAGATATGTTTGCATTTGCTCTGCAGCTCAATGCATTAAACTTTTAGTTAATAAACTGATGTGCTGTCATCTTACCAATAGGAGGGGGAGAAGATCATCGAGGCTTTCCTGGCTAAGGTTAAATCAATGCCTGCTGAAAGCATGTCGGATGAGGCTGTCAAAGAGGAGCTGCGCAAACTCAAGGCAGAGGTCATCGGACAAAACAATAGCTTTGTTAATGAGATGGTGTCACGTTCTGCCAAAGTCAAACTGACTTCAGCCTAAGGGCTGAGCATTGGCTTAGTGGATAAAAGTCCAACATTTCTGTAAAATTATGTATAATGGAAATGGATATAATCTATAGTAGATTAGAAAAACATTCCATTTTAGCACCATCCTTTTTCTTTTCAAATGTTTTTTTTTCAGGTTATTTTGCAAATTGTAGGCACATTCCTGTGCATTCTGTCATAAATTCTCTTTAGTAAAAACTTTCTAAAAAAAAATAAAAATAATAATAATAATTTTTGTGTGTGTATATTGCAACCCAGTCTCTTGCTACTGGGTTGGTATATTGTCAGTTAAAATCACAACTACAATTTTGATTAGTGACAATGTCGCCATCTAATGGGTGCATTTGGAAATGTTGACGTTTTTCAATTTTATTTTTACCTTGTTGCAAAACTTTTAATATTATAATTACAAACACGTTTAGTTCAGACATACCTTATTTGTACCCATTTAGATTTATAAACAATACAATATTTTATAAAGGTACTAGATACACCAGGATTGCAGTGGATTGTTAGATCTGGGGGAAAAATGATAATAATGGGATTAACTACACTAAAGAAAAATTTGAGAAAGTGACTACGCATCTAACAGTACTGTACAATACTAAAGTAAGTATAGTAAAAAAAGAAACCATTCTACTTAATATTTAAATATTTTTTCACAGTATAGATTGGGTCTTTAAACAAGTATACAGTAGCTGGCTTTTAAATTTTCTGGTAAGGGTCCCACACACAAGGATCATATCTGAGAGTTGGATCATTTTGGGGGTCTGTGGCATTGAAAATCCATGTCACCTGGTAAATAAAGCCAAGATGAACAGAACGTATTTCACTGAGCTGTGCTTTATTTCTTGGTCAGGTTTGTAAGAGCAATGCATTCAAGCAAGTTTGTTGTCTAACCAAAACATCTTAAACCAGCCTAAGATAGCCAGCTGGTCTCTCAGCCTACCAAGTATCTTAACCAACCTCTTGCTACCTTGACCAGGCAAGGAGTCCACTTTAGGCTCCAGGGAAGACTTTTACAATGTTATTGCCATTCAGAACCCTGTTTTCATGGCACTAGCGCGGTTTACACTTTGAAACGCACTTCATTTAAGATTAGAAACTCAATATTTAAAAGCAATGACACGCTTAATGTTACACTTGCTGTACATCAGTGATGCCACCTTGTGCATGTTCTCCGTGTCCATGTTAATGACTCCTCCTGCTAGAGAGAGAGAGAGACACGGATCTCAGCACAGGGGGGAGCTGTCCGGAAAAAAACCCACCAACAACACCCCGAATAAGAAAAACTGCCCCGGGTTGGTGTCCTTTTTCGGCGTAGACGGGTGACTTGACTTGTTTTAGACCAGAGATTTGTGTAAATGCTAAGTACAACAGGATAAGGTTTGAGGGACGCGTATTTTTTCTTGGTTAAGTCACCTCGCCAAATGAACTCCGTCAGAGCGAGCAGCAGGAGACCCAGGCGAGTGTCGAGGCCGCGCCCGGTGCAGCCGGAAAGAAACAACGCAGAAAGAGGTGAGACGGGGACCTTTAATTCAATAACACTTCAATGGTGTGCCGTGTCGTGTACGGTACTTTATCTGCATGACCCGACAGTGCCACTCCGAAGCCGCAAGGCCTGAATAAAAGGGTTTGTGTGCAGAGCGTCGAGGCGCATATAAACAGGCCAGGCCGCGCTTTGTTTGGGCTTCACGAGCCAGAACCGTAAACGGCTAGCTTTTAACACACTTAACGTACCACCTTTCCGGGTAGGCTTTAAACTTAGAAACAAGGTGACAAGGTAAATATTGATTTACCTTTGCTATAAGCCACCTCTCATAGGTGGAAGAGAGACGTGAGAAGTGGATTTAGGCATGCAAATCTGCGCTGCGTAGCTGCTAGGATCCAGTGTGGGCTGCCTGCCATTGATACACAACACTGTCCGTTTAGACCAAACACTATCACAGTAACTTATCTGCTTATTGCACCGCATTAGTACCTTGAACAGCTTTGTTCGGTTTTGGTTCGCTTTGAATGCAGTAGCTATGAAGTAAACTATGTTTACACACTGCTAGGTAGCACGCCAGCTAATGCGAGTAGCTGCGCAGT